AGACAGGATTCGATAAATTCTTCTCGATCTACTCGTACGACGATTTGTTCGAACTAAACTAAAAAGTCTATTTTATTTTGAAAAAATTGTATTAAATTTGACCATAATAAATACAATAACAAATAAACTTTATTGAATTAATTATATGACCACAACTTTACTGGCATGCACAGTACTAAAATTTTCTTAAACTAATCGGATTTATTTTTAAAGATATAAAAGTATATTAATTCTTAATAAATGATCTACTTAGTATATTTGGATTAAGATACTGCATTTTTTTTGATATAATTGTCTGAATAAAGATAATAAGACATATTTTAACATTGAATTAAATATTAATGTTTTGTTTGAAACAGGAATAAAATAAATCTAAAAATGAATAATAATCAATTTTCTTATTTTTCGAATAGAATTTTTGTCAATAAAAACTAGTATCCATTAGCTAAATAAAGTAACAAAAATAAAATTCCAACGATTGAATGACTATAAAAGCCAGATGGGAAATGAAATAGAACCATTATTGAATAGAAAGATGCATCTACTCTCGTTAATTGCAATTCTAACAGTAGCTGCGTCTGCATTCGCTTACGATTTTCGTAAGTACTTGAAAAGTGATGTACCATTAATAGAAAATGAACAATTCCAGCAAATTATGTAACGCCATGCTCAAGCAATGATCCACATCTGAACGACTGCATAAAAAGGAATTTCGAGCAAGCCCGGCCGCACTTAGAGGAAGGAATTCCGAAATTGTTCGTGCCTCCGATGAACAAATTCGAAATCACGAAGGTCGAAATGGTTAGCGAGCTTTTAAATGTGTTGGGCACAAATGTGGCTCTTTATGGATTACATAACGTTGCTCTAAAAGACGTGCAAGTTGATTTGATCGAAAAAACATTTAAATTTGATTTTATATTAATTAATTTCGAAGCACGAGGTGACGTGGATTTGGAGNNNAGAACGTTCAAGTGACAACGAAGAATAACGGCAGATTCTTCTTCGATTTTGGAAATCTCAAAGAAAACAACGAGGGTGCAAGTCAAGCCCTAAATGGATTCATCAACGAAAATCAGGATTCCTTTGTAGACACCCTTAGTCCCATTCTTGAAAATATATTTGAAGGTATCATTGCGCAAATCTTCGTGAGAATGTTTTCTAAAATATCGTACGACGAATTGTTTCCGAATAATTAAAAGTGCTTAGAATTTTAAGCTATTTCTTAACAATAAACATATTGCAAAGAATGTCCGGTATTTACTATGCTTCCGTCCCCAAAACCCATCTCTTAATTCGATCCTGCTTTCATTGGTATATTGATAATAAATAAAGCATTGATCTGTCTGATCAACTTATTTTTCATGCTCAAGAAAAACATTTATTTTTGAGACGGGTTTCCAATGATAATTAAAGTCATTCTTATAAGTATATTTTTATATGCCAGACATTCTTTGTTTGGTATAAAAGCAGGACGATTTTTTTGAAACCTGCATAATCTCAAGACAAGATGAAAACTACATTCGTTGCTCTCCTACTCGTCGGTCTAACAACCGCAGCTCAGCTCCGTAAGTTAAATAGTTTAATAATTTACTATTAATGTTATTCTTACAATTAATATACATTATTTTAGCTCCAATCATTAAGCGCTGCAATCCGAACATAGGCTTAAGCGCATGCATCAAAAGCAACCTTGAGGCTGCAAAACCTTTGATTCCACATGGGCTTCCCGGTTGGTCCGTACCCAGTCTGGACCCTTTCTTCATCTCTAGTCAAAGCACCGAAATCCCAGGATTTAAATTAAGCGCGACGAACACTATTATCACTGGATTCAAAGATTTAGACGTTTTGAATGTTCAAGCGGATTCCGAAAATGAAGAGTATAAACTTGAGATTATTGTTCCATTGCCTAAAGCAATTGGTGATTCGAAAATAGTTGGAACATTGTTCGGCGTTCAATTCGATAGCATCGGAACTATGAAAGCTAATGCAAGTAAGTGGAGATAATTGCTTCTAGAAATATTACTACTAGTATATGTTTCTATCCGTTTTAGCAAATTTACACCTTCACTTTTTCTTGAAACTGGAGCGATACGAGAATGGAGGTAAGCTGTATTTGAGGAAAGTGCAGCAAAATATTAAAGCTGAGTTGGATGGAATTCTGACATTGGAGCAAGAGGTTTCGACTAGCCAAGGGAAGGAAACAATCGATATAATTGAAAAAGTTGGCAAAGAGAATATGAACAACGTCTTCGATGTGATCGTTCAGATTTTGCTAAAGAGTTTCGTTGAAACCTTCGAGACAGGATTCGATAAATTCTTCTCGATCTACTCGTACGACGATTTGTTCCAACAAAACTAAATACTCTATTTCATTTAGAAAACTTTGTATTAACTTTGATAATAATAAATACAATAACAAATAAACTTTATTGAACTAATTTTATGACCACAACTTTACTAGCATGTACAATACTAAGATTTTCTTAATCCATTCGGATTTATTTTTAAAGATATAAAAGTATATTAATGGAATTTATGCAGATTCTTATATTAAGATTTTTCATCTTCAATTTTGAAGTTTTTGATGAAACACTGATGTTTTTATAAGACTTCATCAAAAACTTACTGTAAAGATGATTTCAGCCTTAAAGTTCTGCTAATAATAATGATATCAATACATTGATCGAGAATGACGTTACGTAAACAAGTAGACATAAAAATATCAAAAACAACTAGAGACGAACGTTTTTGAAGCTTGCTTGCATAAGTTTTGCAAAATTTAACGGACAAAATTCACGACAATATCAGCGCTTATATTTCTTTTACTACTCAACAAAACTCGGATAGTACAACTCTATTTGTCCACCAGTAGTATAGTTTTTTTTTTACGAAAAACCTAATCAATTCTGGGAGAATGTAATGTTTTAGTTGCGTGAAAGATGAAGAAAGGTGCATAATAATAGAAAATGTATATAATTTTTTTGTTAATATCCAATCAAAAATTTTCTTAATCCAATTGGATTTATTTTTAAAGATATAAAAGTATATTAATGGAATGTATACAAATTCTTGTTTTGAGAAATAACAAGTTCTTTTATTAATTCGCAAAATATAATTTTGACAAAAAAACTAGTTTTTAAGTCTTTCTAACATGCATAAGTAGAAATTCATATAAAATCGCAACAACTCATCACAAAATATTTGAATGCCAGTCATTATTGAATAGAAAAAATACACTAGATTTTATAACAATTACAAAAAAAGTTTTTATGTTGTTGATTGTATGCAAGTAGCAACAACATTAAAAGTTCATTTGCACTTTGGTAGAAAAATGTTTTGAAGGAACGTCAAGATATACAACATTCTCTCTCTCACACCTGATTCTTGATTCACAAAAAAACAATAATTTATGATGATCAACATGAATTTTAAATGAAATTTGTTTGAAAATATACCGAATGAAATCCGATGCAGCAATTAATTAAACAAATTGATTTATGGATTTAGTTTGGAACAAAGAGAACACGAGGGTATAAAACATAATTAAATACAAATCAATGATGTATTTGCATAAACTTTTATTGTCGAATCGAATATAAAAACGCGATCAAAACTCGAAAATATCGCATTTCAAAGATGAAGTCGATATTGGTGGTGATAAGTTTGCTGTGCGGAGTACAATCAGCTTGTCTTCGTAAGTATACGTTATTAGTAGTTGAATTATCTTGAATTTAAATAATTGCAGCACCTTTTATAACTCTTTGCAACAAAAATGGAATCAATTTGAGCCAATGCATTAAGACAAATTTAGAGGTGGCGAAAAGTTACTTCATTGATGGTGCTCCTCAGTTCCACGTACCCAGTTTGAATCCTTTCGTCCTGGCTTACGCAAAGACGGAAATTCCAAACTTCTCGTTTGCACTTTGGAACACCAATATAACGGGCTTCGAAAACTTCGATGTTCTCAAAGTTGATGCAGATCTACAAAATAACAGTT